GCTTGTCGGTACCCGCCTGTAACGGAAGAGCAGCAAACCCGGGCCTTGTCCGGCACGGAGCGAGCACTGCACATGCAGCTTCCGTTTAATCCTGTTTATTTTATTTGTGCACCACACACCTCTCACATCATTGCAGTTCTAAGAGAGAGAGAGAGAGGGATGAGGGGACAGCAGAGCTAAAAAACCAGTCCCGCTACAAACCATAACGTTTGACAAATGTTTGCTCAGATGGCTCTGAAATCCAAGTAGTCCACGGAGAGAGGACTAGAGAGGGGATGGCGGCCCCCGGACCAGGCCGGTGTTGCCCTCGCAGCCTGGCTCCCGCGCTCAGGAGCCTTCGGTGTCGGTGTTGTCGCTGCCGGTGGTGTTCTCCCAGTCGGCCTCGTGGTGTCGGCCCTTCGGTACTCGTCGCATGGCTCTTTTTCTGCAAACAGGATCAGACATTTTCATTTTGAGAGGACGTTTTCTGCAAACAAGTGGCGTTGGAATGCTTTGGGGAGTGTACTGGGGAGGTTCAGTACGTCTCAATCCACTCGGTGTTCCACCGATCGTGAGGGTTTGCTCACACCCACAACGTAACGCTGTGACTGGTAGCAAGCAGAGGGTAAAGCGAATTGGTCTAAACTGATGAAGATATTCTTACATTTCTTTAAGTGTGGTGTATTGTTGATCCTCAGCTGAAGAAGCCAAGAAATCCTACCCAAAGTCCTTTCTTTAATAGTACTGTCAACAGTCAGAAGCATCATTTACAGTGCCATTAGGAGCACTTCTATCTAATGCTAGAACTAAGGTCCCTGTTTTACATGGTTTTCATTGGTCTCATGCTCCATAAAGGCAGTGATCAGTGAAGACACCGGGCATTTGGAGAACAGTCCTTCAAATGAGAGCATGTGAAGAGGACAGAGGGTGGACGTCTGCTCCCATTCACAGTCGTGGGAGCTTGGTCTTGAATGTCAGCAGTTTGTCAGATGGGCAGCGAATGTCAGATTTTACTCGCATAGGAGAAATCAATCAAAGTTGTTAAACTAGCAGTTCTCTGGAGCCACCCCCACTACTCTGCTCTGGAACCATCTGCACGTTGCAGAGCGAATGCAATCATTGCTATCTTGGCTACCTCCGGTACAAAAACAGGAGTCTCAACCACTTCAGCTAGAAGCATGAGACTCTGAAGATCTGTAATGAATTTATGCCCTCCATGCATCAACCCTGGGGACAGGGGATGGACAGAAAAGAGGAAATAAATACAACAAGCTAATCAGTTAAGTCACACAGGTATGTCTAAATTAGTTCTGCTTACTAAAGTCCAGACCTTCTGCAACGCTCAAAGCAGTCCTTCATCCTCCTCCGCTCCTTTTCTGCCAGTTCCTCACTGGCTAAGCCATGCTCCTTGAACTGGAAAAAAATCCAAATATGAACTGGAGTCCTCTGAAGATCAGATCAGTGTCAGCACCAGGTAGTGCAAACCTGCTCTGCAGAGGTGGCTGGTTTGGAGGCTATGTACTGCATCTGGCCTCTGCCAGGTAAATGGCTGCAGACCACCCAAATAAGCTCGGTCATTTCTCCTCTCCAACTTACTTGTGCAATGAATCATTTTACATTTAAATGGAGGAGAAAAGAATGGGAACCTATGCCTTCAGATGACCAAGAACAGCTGTTCACTACCAAACCCCTCATCCAGGAAAGCAGCCCGCTGCGTACAGCTAGATTCCTGCATCTGCTTGGGCCTGCAGAATGAAGCACAGCACATTCATTTCTGGACTGTCCACTGTTGTGTGTGCAGGACGGTAATACCTCTGTTTCACAAAGCTTTAACATCTCCATTCTTCATACTGCAGATAATTAAACTAGAAAGCATCCACACCCAGAGATGAGGGCCAGAAAGTAATTAGAAGCAGTTTCTAGGCACAGATGGAGAAATAATCACCATAAGTGTTCTGCTGTTCAGAGCTCACCCTTCCTGGATGGTGAATTTGCACAAAGCGCTCAGATTTTGAAAAAGCAGTAGCTGCTTGCATGCTCAAATCTGGTAAATCCATCATTAACAGGAACAGTAAAGATCAGAAACCCCAGTCATAGTCAAGAAGAGCCCACAAAGATTCTCTTACACTGGGTGACTTTGGAGGCAGACTGCTCTCTCGTGTGCTAAATTGCTGGGTTTGTCCTTCAGGGCAATCTTCTAAGAGAAGGAAAAATCACAGCTTTAGTCATAGCAGCCATTGTGAAGTAACTTCTCCCTCCACCATTTCGTCAAACAGCAATAGCTGTAATGTCACAGCTGCCCAGCACTACACAGAGTCAACAGCAGAACTGAAACCAGGCCTCAAAACGTTCAGGATTCAGTCCTGTGATCAGTGCCCGAGTCACTTCTCATTTTACTTGAACCCTGAATCTTGCTTAGGGTGAAGGAGTTCCCCATCAGGCTCAGAAAGAGACAGCAGCTTTCTGATTTCTGCTTACACAAACCCTTGCAAAGCGGCACCTCTGCTTAGCATCATTAAAGAAAATAATCGTGTGAGAGGTCACCGTGAGAAATCATCTTAATCATTATTTTAACCAGAATTTTTCGCTGTTCCCCAGCAATTAACTTGTGCATATCAAGGCCCTTAACATCGGACCGTATTTTAGTGAAACTCCTTATGTAGTGATCAGGTATCATGATACGTGTTTTTGAACTGAGCGAGGTAGAATAATAAAAGGCTTTCTGGATCAGAATTGTTTAGCTTTTGTGAAGAATCTCCCTTCTCAATGAATGAAAAGATCATTTAGATCTTCCAGGAGATCAAAACAGAAAATTTCTTCTACTGTGCTGGTTTCCTTCCTTTCTCAACATGTTTTGAAAGATAATTTCAAGTTCTTAGAGGAGCCTATTAATTCCTCTCTGCACTGCTGAATCATTTCCACTGGGGATGCCACAGGAACAGAACCAGTGACGGCATTAACTACATGGTTCTGCTTTTGTGAAAATAGCCTGCAAAGCAAAAGGGAAGAGGGGAGGGAAAAATCCCTGGAGAAAGCCACATGGTCCAGCTGAAGTGGAAGGATGTTTGTTCTGTTCTCAGCTCTGCCACAAATGCAAGAGGAGTGGGGGAGAAAAAAGGCACCTGGGAGCTATTTCTCAAAGGCACCAGGTGATTTTTCCTGGACAAATTCAGTAGGCAGATTGCCTCAAAAACAGACTCAAGGCCCTAGGATGGTCTAATGACACCATTTTCCCCGGGTCACTCAGCTATATGAAAGACGCTTTCAGAGACCATGTTGTAAAAAGACAGCCTGAGGAGCTTTTTCTCTCAAAAAAGCTTTAGAAGCATTCACTGTTCCCAGCACCCGGGGACATGTTCTCCTTTTTATAGGTGAGGAAGATGGTGGTATGGCAGAACGCCTTGATTTATGGGTACCTACTCTGAGTCACTCAAGGAGGTCTTACTCAGAGTGCCAAGCACACCCCACTGAGAAGCACCTCTCACAAACCAAGTCACCAGTCAGACTATCTGTTCTTCACTAAAAATAAAACCCAGGGATGTCTTTTCCTGTCCCTTGGAAACACTGGACCAGCCTCTCAAGAATTCTACTCTATGTTTTCCCAAGAAAAGCCTTACTTTTAGTCGGCTGTGTATCTTCATCTAGATGACCATGAAGAGTAAGCTATGGGACAGAAACAAAGCAAGAACATGAGAACTGCCCTTTATTCTGTCTCACACAATAGCTAGGAACAGATGGAGGAATATAAGAAACAGGACACGCATAGATGGTCTTTCCTTAGTGCATCATGCTGTCAGCAAAACTGGAGACTGAGCCAGAAGTTACAGATCTACTCATGGATTTATCCTCCATGAATAGAGCCAGTTCCTTTGGCCTCATTTATACTTTTAGCCTCCAGACAATGTGACAATCACTTCCACACTGAGGTTACGAACTAAGTGAAAACTCTTTACTACAGATGTCCCTGGGTAAGACTTATTTTTGCCTGTTCTCCCACAAGAGAGACAACTAGAAGCAACTCAAAATAATTCAATTCCCCTGATTTGCTTAGACCTAACAAATCTTGCTGACTAACGCCATAGCTTTGTCCTACACTTAGAAATCTCAGGACACAGGGAAATTCTGTCACTGGCCTGTTTTGCTGCCTCTGTACTTTTTGATATCACCGAAATGAGCCTGAGCCATGGACTGAAAACTCCTATTACTTAGGGAGCTGAGCACAAGCGAGGATCTCAAAACCATCCCAGAAGAAAGTAAAAGGTAAACAAGGCAGCCTACTCACTTCCTGGGAATCTCTGGAGGAGGTATCATCCAGGTCAGAGGTCTGAAATAAAACCAGTATAAATCAATCATTCTGCCTAAGCAAGGAAGTGGTAGTAAGGAAATATACAGGAGACTGAAAGCTCCAGAAAACAGAGAAGTGTGGACTTCCTCCCTCCTGCACTCCTGTCTGACCACTTGGAGAAACTACCCAAGATGCCACATTAGTTAAAAGCCCTCATGTAGCTAATTTCATTCCAGAAACTTTAGCACCCTTACACCCTGCTCCCATTTCATCCAAATGGCTCATACATGGTATCTAAATAGAGCTCACTCTTTGGTGGTAGAGGATCCCCTCATCATCTCTGGACATGCTCCAAACACAAACACAGAAGGCCTCAGCTTGCATCAGTCCATCTTATCCATGCTTGGAACCAGGGTGAGGTAATAGGAACCATCACATCTTTAATTTTTCTAAACTCAGCACTTGCATGCAAATGGTTACCCACGCAGCTGGCTGCTGCCTGCTGAATTAGAACTGGTTAGGTGCAAAGGCCTCAGAACAGCCACACTCTGGCCCTATACTCACCTTCCCAACCCATCATGCAGATGGCAACCCCCCAGACGTACCAGTGTGGGTAGCTCCAGTTGCAACCTTTTCAGCTTGGCTTCAGTAGCCAGCAACTGACTCTCCTTTTGGAAGAGCTGCAGTTGCATTTCGTCACATCGCTCCCCCAGTTCCCGAATTTGCTTGCGGTAAGCGTCCCTCTCAACCAGGTTCTTGGAGTACTGTGTATAGAACTGTTCTCGGGTCAGGAGGGCCTGGCATAAAGGACAACATGTTGTGGCACATCACACAACAGTACATTCAGGTTTACAGTACCTGCCCACTTCAAGCAGCGAAGCAGGGATTAGCAGCAGCTCCAAGAGGAATGTTTTATCACCTGGTCTCTTTCGGAAGCCACTTCCTCCATCTGCTGCAAGACAGCTTCAATCCGTTTTTTATACATCTGGGAGTCCTTCCTCAGAGATGTGCACTGCAGTTCAAGCATCTCTTTTTCCTCTGCATACTGTTGAGACAAAGACAAAAGCACCCTGCTTGTGGGCAGAGCCTGAGCTAGGCTCTCGCCACTTCTGCTCTGTGCCACAGATTGCCATGGCCTGACCTCCCTGCAATGCCAAAGTTCAACCAGACTGTCCAGTTGGAGCAAGGCCAACCAGAAGGTTGCTCAGCATGACTAGGACGACTGCTAACATGATGGATTTACATGTACCTGAGCTGTCAATCATGATAAAAGCTTCCATTACCCTCCAGGCTGAGGCAGGGACTGTAAATTAACACAGGCATTAACAGGTAACAGTTAATGCCACTGACACAGAATGCTAAAATATTAGTGTGCCTTTTTTCAAAGAACTGTAACACAGACCCTAGAGCGCTCCTCTGCTCCATAGTCAAGACACTGCAGGTGCTTCGTCTGTCCATCTTACTCACTGAAACCTCA